GTTGCACAGTTAATGCTGAAGTTAATTTGACATTAAATCAGAAATTAAAATTCTGTCTTAGGTATGAAGAACTTGAGAGACCTTTCACTGCATTTATTTTCTAAATACAGGATGAGTTTTCTGAAAAAAAATTACAAGAAAATTGGTTAAGTACTTTACTAAAATTGTGCTGCGGTTGTTCATCTAAAAACATGGGAGTTCATTCTGGGCTACTATTTCCACTGCTTGTTACTTTTTTTCCTTTGATGGAAATGTTATCAGTTAATTTATACTGAAAAATGATTCAGCTAATCTTGAAGCAGGTTATATAATGTCTTTGGTTAATTTTGAACTATTGGCTGCACAATTTGCTTAAGGCTTTAATCCATCTCCCAGCATACAGACTTTTAAAACATCATTTGAGATTCCAGAGGAGTTCGAGACATCCACTTGGATCTGACAGGTATGACACAGGAGACAGAGGTGATCCAGGCTCATCTTTAACCAAAGGAGACCAAGAGATACCCCAGGGGGTCTCAGATAGCACTAGGTGCTTATATTTGACCTGAGAAAGGCAGAACTCTCTCTATTTCTAGCTGAAGGAAGGAGGTTTCTTACCTGCACATTTTTCACCACCCATATTTCCAGCCTTAGGTACGTGTGTTAAGTGCTTATAAGCTAAAGAGCACAAATGTCTTTTGCCTGCTGCGTTGGTGTTTCATTTCTCTCTAATGTGATTTCAGCATCTGATATCTCAGTTTACTAGCATTGGAAAGAAGCATAATGTCATTTGGGATATCTGCACATCTTCACTTTACAAAACATTAGCTTCTAAAACTCATTTACAACAGCAAGTACCAAAATTGGGCTAAAATGTGTGTGGCTGTTAAGAATAATAAAATAGGAATCTTGCTCTGGTTGGTGATTATATGTGGTAAAAATGTGGCTGGTGGCTTGGTCCACTAGGATCTGTCTTGAGTATATGTTTGGAAAGAAAAGTATAGAGGTTGCAGCCTGGGATAATAAGCAAATGTTGGAGAGAGTCATGTTTTCTACAGTTACAGGTTTCATAACCAAAGGAACCCATCTCACTTTCTTCTGTCTCCTCCATCAGTGACCCCGTGGCTTGTAGTCATGCAGCCTTCAAAAGATCCCTGCTCTTTGAGGGCAGCTGGGGTCTGCTGTAGCTACTAGGGCATCAAGTTAATGTGGACCATGAAATGAAGCAGAGGTGAAACCTCCAAACCTTTTCTGAGCCAACAGAGAAGAAAAAAAGAGCTATGACTGACAGAAAGCAAGGGGCTAGAATAGCGCAGAGAAACTCCTGCTGTAATTTGAGAAGCATTTTCTTCTTGATCCAGGTGAAATTTTCTTCTTCTGACTAACAGGCAATAGTGTTGAACTGCACAATCATAACAAAAGCCAGTTTGTTCAAGGTTAAATGTCATCTTCATTAGTTACCTAATAAAAATATTTTGTATACAATTGTGCTGGTTAAATGAAAGATTTTAAATGAAAAAAATCAGAAAAGTATTTGTGATACTGATAAATACCCTACTTTCTGCTGTAGCTACTAGAGTAGGGTTATTTTAGAACACTTCTGTTTCTGTTATTACCCTGTTCTATTGTATAGTGTTATTTTTCTTCAAGTAGCTTTTGAAGTAGTTTGTGGTGGAGCTGTACAGGTCATTTACAGAGGAGAATAATTTTAAAAATATTGTTATTGGAACCTGCTTTTGTAAGATATTCAGGTATAAAAATTAATAAGGTGGCATGAAGATTTTTTTTTTACAGTAATCTCAAAGTAAATTATCTTCCTTTAGAAAAACCCAACAAGTCCAACTAAAGCCATTCATATTTAATTTTATGTTTTCCAACTATTCTGCTTATGATTAGGTTTTTTTAAGGCCAGCTTTAAAGTTCCTTGTGAAAATTATTTATTTAACTCTCACAGAGTTTAGAAATAGACTTAATGGATAAATTGAAGAAATAGTGGGAAGAACTACCTCAGCTCATTAAGATGATGAATTTGAAGTTTTAGTCCTTCTAAATGAACCTTCACAACCATTAACTGGTCCTTTTTATGTGGTTTTGACTCATTTTTGCTGTAGAGCCACAAACTATTTATTTTTATTATGCAATTGTGTCACTGTAATAGAAGGAGAATGAATTTCGATTTGCCATGTGTAATTTCAGCCAAGAAGTGATGGAAATATTAAGAGCATTGACACTAGTTTTCTCATTTTTGCTAATAGCAGTATTAAGCCGTTTTTATTTTACTGAGCAGCAGAATGGCTGCCAGCTGTCACACTAGGATGGGAGAGAGTCAAATGTGGTTTATTTAAATGGAGGGTGTCTGCCTGGCAAAAGTTTACGTAAATGTTAGTGAGCTGTTTTCTCTGTCTGTCAGTGAGTAGGCTTCAGAAATTCCCATGTCACTTTGGACACTGTCATTGGCCACAGAATGGAAGCAGCCTGTTAAATTTTTGTGGGAAGGGACAGTCTAGTGCATCAAAACCAGTTTCTTGTCTGATTGACACATACTTTAGTCAATTGAAGGAGACGAATAATCAGAAGAAATCGTTCGCCCCCTTCCACCAGCACTGCAATACACCACATTTCTGGCGGCACTGTGCCATGTCGCACTTGTGCAGCTTCATTGCTGCCTTGTTAAGTGATAACCAGGCCCTGGAACTGTGTTCCTCCCTGGGAAGCCGCAGGTGGGAAGGCTGGAGTGAAGAGGAAAGCAAAGTATGAAACACCTCCTTCTCTGTGTGTCTTTGGTGTGGTACATTTCTGATATGCTTTTGATTCATGCTGTGTCATCATTTGTGAAGGCATTGTTGTGTGTGTTCCTTCATGGATTCCTTTTTTCTTTGACTCAAGCTGAGGAGGACCATTCTGAAGGTCACAGATTTCATCAGGATGGCTTAATTCCTAGCTTAAACAGGCAAATTGGGGGTGGTTTATATAAAGTTACATGCATGTCTTCCAGTATGTAAAATATACTGTCTCTAGCATAAAAATTATTTGATGACAGCTCATCTACAGCTACAGAACTAGAACTGCTACAGTATCAGGTGATGACCAGCAGAACGTAGTGAAGTCAACGCTGTCTACGTGAGAGTAAGCATCTGAGCAGTGATTGCCTTCAGAGCTGTATGTAAATTCTAGCATTGAGATGACCAGCAAATGTCATGTAAAGTTCACTGAGCTGTCTTTTATTACTGGAAAAATAAGGGTGGGCTTTTACTTTTTAAAAATATAAAGTGCCAGCCCCTTTTACAGTGGATGGAAGCTTCAGCTTGCGTTGGCTGGTTTAGTCTCATGTTGATTAAAGATCCTGCCTGCAGTCTCCTGTTACTGTACTATTTAATATCTTTTATGTCTGTGTGTTCAGGATAGTTATAAGTCCTTTTGGTTTTAGGTGGTCATCTCAAAATTACCTTTACTCCATGAGCAAAGAACTACTTGCTCCTCTGTTTCATAAATGGTTCTGTTCACATCCAAGAGCACATGTATTCTCTGCCCATGCAATTTAGAAATTACTGAATTTCAGGAAACAGATTCTGTAAATTAAAATATACCCTAATTAGGTCAGAGATACTGTTACCAGGTTAACTGCATTATTAAGATTTTGCATGACATTGGGCTTTGCAAGGAGTCAAAGAGGGAAAAAGAAAAGTAGAGAAAAGGGGAAAGAAAAGAAGAAGGAAGGGATGAGATTTAATTTTTCTCTTTCCCAAGCTCAGGCAGTTGGCCCATAAAGTGAACAAAAAGAAATCCAGCACTGGATTATTTGTATTGAAAGACTATGTCATTGAAAGCTCTCTGTCAATACATCCTTTTAAAGCCAGCAAATAGACCTGTGATACAAACAGCTACTGAATCCACTCCCATTCTGTGTTCTTCCAGGAGTTCTTAGTTAATGGCCTGAGGTTTAGTAATCTACAGCACCCTAATAACCACTTATTGCTACTAAAAAAAAAATAAAATGTATACAAGTCTAGAATTGGTGTGGAATGTAGTGTTAGCATAGCGTTGGGCAAACTTTGTGCTTTGGAAAATGTGTTTTCAGAAGAGCAGTTGTCTAGGCTTATTGTAGAGTTCATTTTATTTCATCTGCTGCATTTTCAACATGATTACTTTGCTCCTCTCTAACCAAATTGATACTTTTCCTTCCTCTTCTGCTTGCAACACTCTGCCATCTCAGTTATATCCAAGCCACATTCAGCCTTTCCCTCTTTCATCTGACTTTTGACTGCACTGGGCCTGGGTACAGCTATGGTCTCTTCTAGAAATAAGTAGTTGTTTCTTACTGATATGCTTTGTAATACTTTGATTTACTTTGTGCTACTAATATTGTGAAAACAGGTTAATCAGGTTCTGTTTTGGATAAGAGACCTGAAGTCCGTTAACACTGAACTTGGTGTAGTGCTTTAAAAAGTGGCTATGGTATAAAAAGCTGTATTTCTTCCTGTTAGCAAATGTAGTCTTAGTGCGTGTATTTTTTCATACTACAGGGAGCAGAGTCTCATGTGCCTAGGGTTTGAATAACATGAGAAGAAGGTATCGTGTGTTGTACAGTACTATGAATGAAATATATTGGAAATATCTGTTGGAAGAGCAGCATTCAAGCTCTGAGAGATAAAAGCTTTTCTATGTTGTCTCTAAAACATGGTTCTGAAGGGATCAGAAAACTGTGTGAAATGGGTGGTTGTGGATACTCAGCCTCATTCCCCGCTGGTGGCATAGCCTAGAGCCTACAATCATGACTACTCAGAGTTCTTAATTCACTTACCAACCCATATTAGTGCCAGGAAAAGCTGATGACGCCTCTTTCAGACTGAAAACGGCTTGCAATTGCCTTGAGACTGTATCCTGTTATAACTGGTGGTCAAGTGCTGTGATGGGTCAAGTGGCTGAAAGCCGGTGAGCAGCTCTGCAGACTGTGTGCGCAGGTACCCAGTCACACGTCCGTGAATGACATCTCCCTTCTTTCTTCTCTTTCTCCCTTCTAGCCGCAGTATTGAAATATGAGAACAACGTTATGAATATCAGACAGTTCAACTGCTCCCCTCATCCGTACTGGCTTCCAAATTTCATGGATGTGTTTACCTGGTCCTTGCCATTTGTGGGTGAGAAAGGTATGTAAATCAGTTCTCTTCATAGAAACTACAAAATGGTTTTGTAGTCACTGTGCATGTGGCCTCATTTATTTGAAATGGCAAGAATAATTTGAAGACAGATGACTTGCTTTCAAGGACAAGTTGGAAGAAACAGACCTCAGAGGGGCAAGCAATTACCAATGGTTCATCACACTTCTCATATGATTTTTGTAATTCTTTCCAGGCTGTGATGCCATTAAATTTCTGATTTAGAAATAGGTTTTATGACATTACAGGCCAGAGGTGCATTCACTGAATAAAGTTCTTATTAGTTGTTCTTTTATAAGCTCTTGGGCGTTTGCTAGCATAGTGCTTACTGCTCAAGGGATATCACATCAGACGTCACTACATCATGGTTACGTCCTTACCTAGATGACCTCTCTGATAAGATGACGATGGGTTACTTTCTCACCAGCAAGCATGGAGCTGGTGGTACTAAAACCCAGTCTGGTTAACTGTTCCTAGAGAGAGTAGAGAGGTGGCAGGAAGAAGGAAAACCTGCTCCTCAGCTTCTTCTCTGCCCAGGGCGTACAGCACCTCCTTGCTGGTGAGAAGACACTAAAGAATATGAATGATGTTTTATTGAAACATTATGGTCTTGATGTTGCCTGAAGACAACTTCATGCTGTGAATGGCAAGCACACAAAAGGCACGAAAACACTTTGGTCTAACATATTAAATGAATACCTAATGCAAACTGCTTAAACCCCAAGTCATTTTATTCAGGCCCTGAGATGAAGCTTGCTTTGATCCATCCATTATAGTCTATTGCTGCAACAGCAATTACTGCCAGAAAACTGTAATAAACTCTTAAAAGCTGCTTGGAATAACAGTTCTCTCTTAATAGGCAACTAGAAATTCAGCCAGCTGTGGCTCCTACCTGCAATCATAACCGGCTTTGTTTTCAGCTGCTCTTTTATAGGAGGAAAGCTGCTGGTGTAGACGCCTGAGGTCTCTGTGAACAAAGCAGATAGACAATGAAATAGGGGTTAACAAAGAATAGACAGCTGTTTCCACTAATGGAGACATTACATAACCCACACTGATGCGGGTTGCCGACTCCTGTGAAGCAGGCGAATCGCTTTCATTTTCTTTGACCGTAAACTCAGCCAGGCTGGTTTGGGGTAGGCCTGTTCTCCATTCACATTGTTGTCTTGTAAGATGTTCTGCAAGGTCATGTTTTCAGAGACTTCCACCAGCGGCCTCCTCAGGTGGAGATGCGGAATGTACGGTCGAACTTTTTAAGGCTTCTGAGACTGTGGACACTCCTCTTTTTAGTTTGTTTTTCTCCTTCATGTCTTCCCAGTGGTCACTTTTACCAATTGCTTAGAAGTTTTAGACTCCCAAGAAGTGTTCTCCCTTTCTCTGCAAAACAAACTCATGAATGCAAGAGTTGATGTTCTACACAGCTTTTTATGTATTTCCTTTTTTTTTTATAGATTTTTTTTTCCCCTCAAAGGCAAACCAAGGTAGGAAGCTGTTAGTTTCACTGGTTGTTCTTAATGTGGAAAGTCTTTCCACTAATTCTGTCACACAAAAATATTAAATCCTTCACTAATGTAGGAAGAATATAGCTTTGTCCCACCCTTCTAATGTTCAAAGTCATCATAGCTGTGACAGAAGAGGATTTTAATAACCACTTGATTAAAAAATTTAAAGTTTCAACCTGTGTAGCTAGCACAAGACTAGACATGCCTGGTAACCCTTTTAATGATGCTTACTACATGTAGATGTAGTGTAGTTTTTCTTAATCTGCTAATGATATCACATTTTACCACGTAACTTTGGCTTTTTTGATATCTAAATTACATTTGCTTGGTTGTGATTTTTGCTAGTTTTTTTTTTTGACTGTTCTTACTCTGTGTGCTCCCTGGTTAGTATCTCACTATTCTTTCCAGACAGATCTGGGACCATGTTAGGGGTAGCCTGGGACTGACCCTTCCATGTCCAAGTTGCAAAGTGAGCAAGCTGAATATATTCTGAATTCACTGATAATGATGTATCTACTGAATATGGACTAGTTCCAGCTGGAGGGGACCTACAACAATCATCTAGTCTGTTTGTCCTGGGTTCCAAGGGACACTGACCCTTTGTGGGCATCTTACAAGAGTTAATATTTTATTGAACTGAAAGGACAGTGTGTGAAACTTGGATAAATAAATAAATATTCTGTCCTCCCTCTTGCTGTATTTCTTTCAATTGGAAAATCATTCCATTTGCTGAACAGGAAAATCAAATCCTACTGCAGTGTAGCAGCAAGAGGAGAGTGATCAGTTCTGTTGTCCCAAGTTGAGTGAAAGGCAAAAATGCATTGAGGGAGAGAAAACAAAAGTTACCTGATTCATTGAGAATTGAAAAAATAGAGAATGTAAAGACGTTAATTTTTATGCTCTGTGTGTTGTGGTGATCATTGTATTTGGAACAGTTTTTATGGAAACCTGTACTTTTTATTAACCACAAGACACTTCAGGTTTATATTACTGCACGTGCAAAACAAGATTATATTATTTAAAAGGCACTGAATTTTCATTAACACTACTATAGCCAGAGTTTGCTCTCTGACTGACCAGGGAAGCTTGATACTGACATTTTGCATTTATTTTCTATTTTAGTGACAGAGATGCTGGTAAATGTGCTGAACATCTGCTCGGATGATGAACTGGGGACAGAGGAAGATGGGTTTGATGGTAAGAGTCTCCTGCACTTCATTGAGATTGTTTGCCTTGAAACTACTTTAAAAGGTTTTTTCCTAACCCTGGGATAATTTGCTGAGCTGTGTTTAAGTTCTGTGCTGCTGAAAGCAACTGTTGTGCTAGATTCCAGTGGATTTCCTTAGTGCATGCTTTGGAAAGAATTAATGGTTCTTCCGCCATGTTCTAATCCTTTCTTTAGTCTCACTCTTTTGGTTTAAAAAACAAAAACAAAACAAAAAAAACCCTGACTTCATTGCATGAGATTTGGGTTGTATTGTCACAAAGATGTCAGATGTTGATTTCATGCATAAGATCCCAGGGATTCCCACAGAAAGTTTAATTATATCAATGAAATTATCTTCCTACAATGCAATAAGCTTCCATCAGAGCTCCTTCCAGAACATCAGTACGCAACTTTGGAAGACTTCTACTTGAAATATTTTATTAGTTGCTTCTTTTAATGCAATTGTGTATCTGAAAGGCTTTAAGAATCAATAGAATTGCTGAAAATAAACTTGCAAACACAGATACGGAATGCTCTGACCTGACATTTCTAATAAGAAGAGAGGTATGGTCACTTTTATTGTCATTTGGGTTGGAGTTTGTATGATGATAAGTTGTCCTGTACCTGTTGGTTTGACTGTAAATAATACTGTATATTTAGTGATTTGGGGATTCTTAGAACTCAGTTAATTTTATCAGATGTTGTTTTCTGTTATACACTGCAAAAGTAAATTGTAGGTCTCCAGAATGTCCTTTCTCAGTTGAGGAAAACTGAAAAGAAAACCATGCATCCCTAACGCTCTTACTATGAATGCGTTCAGTGTTTTAAAAAAAAATAATCTAGGAGAAGAACAGAAATATTAAAGAATTAAAAAAGAACCTGGAGAAATCTAACACTACCAAATATTCTCAAGATGTTTGTAGGTACAGTGAATGAACAGGGAGAAGGAAGAACTTTGAAGTAAGACAAATACTTAATGAAGTTGTAATTAATAATTAAACTTCTCTCTCAAAGTCTTTAATCTTTGGAAGCAGAAGCTAGATCACAATTTTGGCAAATGTTTCCTTTGTGATGGAGAAGAAGGTATGGATGATAGCACTTTGACTTTACTCTGAAAAGCCAGATGGATGTCCCTGTTTTGAATCCACCATGGAGTGTGGACGTGAACAATTATCTTGCAGGACTTGGGACAAAGACTGAATTTACTGAAACCAGTAATCAGTGGAGAGAAGAAAACACCTGTTTGAATATTGTGCCCATTTTTTTTCTCATGAAATTCAAATAAGTAGCTACTGTGTAATTAAAGCAGCGTGTGAAACAGTACGGAGTCATACAATGAGTAAAAACTGTGTCAAATTGAATACAGTAGCAACAAAACCATGTGCTTAAAATCTTTGGCTTAAGAAAGCGTTTAGACGCGGGCTGAAATCCCACTGAATACACTGCCAGAGCAAAGGCTCTATGGAAAGGATTTTTAAATTGATTCAGCATTGGCCTAATACTTTCTTTTCTAGTTGTGGTATAAATCTCCACTGAGCGTGGATGGGCCAATGCCTCTAGTCTTTTTCTAAAATTTTGGTGTGTCAGCATTCTTATCCTTCAGTCACAGTTCAGGAGCGTGTTTTCAAAAGCAGAGTCCGAAGTCACGGGGTGTTAGGGATCTTTGGGGACAGCTGCAGGAGGGCTCTGCATCTACTGCAGTTTTTCTGGGAGGAGGGTGAACCACCCCCACCCCGTTCTCCCAGGAGTGTTACCATGACTGTCCTCGAGACGTGGAGTCTGCAGCATTGCAGGTGTCTACGTAATGAGACAGGCTGAAATCCTCTGGGCTTGCATGTGTGTGTGCTGCATAACGATACCTAACAGCATTAAGTTTCCAGATGAGGAATAATTAAACCATTGCTGGTACTGTAATGCTAATACTGTTGTTTAAATCTGCTTTCTTTTCTTTTCTTTTCTTTTTTTCCTGTATGAATGATTTCTCTGTGTAAAACATTATGTTAAGGAAGATATTAGAAATGTCGTCTTCTTTAGCCGGCATATATTCGTGCCTGCTTTCCCAGTTAATCCCCTTAGAGCTGTAAAATGGGATCTGTCGCGCTGGTGCTGCAGCTTGCTGCAAGGGCACGCTCATACCTCCAGCCCACTGGAACCAGTGGGCTCGCAGGGATTATATATACGGAAAAAAACGGAAAGATTCCAGTCATAAAAGTAGATTTGAGGGTTGATTTAAATAGAGGCTGATATCTTAATGATTTCCTGGTGGGTTCCAATGTATTACATCTACAAGAAAGAAAAATCCTCTTTCTCTCAGAGATAGTTAAGTTCCCTCTCTTATTTTTTTTTTCCCTAAAACCTTGCCTTTTGGGGGAGAAACCACAAGATGTATTTAATTTGTGTTCTTGATGAAACAGACTGGAATTATTAGCAGCTTAAAACTGTTTCTGTAACAGCTGTATATTGGCAGTCTTGCAATGGTCCAACATTTTCACTGTTCTTCCTCAGAAATTTCTGTCCAGCTTCCTTGGAGGACTGCAGCAGGACAGTCCTGTTCACCTACCGACATTTTTCTTTAGCAGTGTTTCCCACGGAAGGAAATGCCTGATATTCAGAACAGCAGATGCGTTTTGTTTGGTGGAGTGGATTCTTTAAATGATCAACACTTATTTTTATGTCATCGGTAGTTTTCAGGGCCAGCTGCTGATTTCCTTTTTCTCCTTGCAGTTTGAACATGCCCTGACCTGGGTTCCCACATCCATCACTATGGTTTGCACTGATCATTCATTTCATGCATTTGTTATCTTCTCTTACACATTCCTTGTCCTCTGTCTTCTCCTCTCACTTCCCTCTTCAAAGCAAAGCCCCATCAGTATTGCCTGACCTCACTGCATGGTGTTGTTGTGAGCCCCTATTATTATTATTATTATTATTATTATTATGGTTCTAAGTCATGCATGTTGCATCTAGCTATGAGCAAGATGCTCAAGGGCAGCATGTATTCCATTTTTTAAAAAATTTTTTTTAGGAAACATATTATGGGGATTGATCAATTTATTGTAGACAGCTTCCATGTATGTTTAGTGGGAGAGATAGCAATCGTAGTGCCCTTTATCCCTTGTGTCCCTTCTCGACTGTATTGGCCTTCCAGTTTCACTTGCTTTAAAAATGAGGGGATATGATAGGTTAAGATTTCTTATCTCTGATTGTTTCCTCATGCTGTACTTTCTCTTTCCTGTTTGGTGTGGTGTTTGCAATACAATCTGATCCAGAAAAAAAATATCTTGGGTGAACATTAGCTCGTGTGCTGTATGGTTTGTGCATCAGACATATCCCGTAGCAAAAGGAGCTGCACATACTTTTAACTAGCCAGCATGTAGTCAGTCCTGTTTCAATTAGCAACGTTTCTGCACTCATGCATTTGATTGAAAAAAAACCTAAACTGCTAATTAAAGGGGTGCAATAATGTAATAGGCAGCTTGACACAAATGCACTGCTTGTTTTGTAAGCATCACTATTGTGATTTGGCATGAAGACACTCTTAAATTACCTGCATTAATTTTGTATTACCTTCAGCATTGTAGCTCACAGCCTTCACTGGGAAAAGCTGCTGTCACAGTGCTAGCTGCAGCATTTATTCCTCGGTTGGAATACAGTTTCCCCAGGACTGTGCTGCAGTCTGAGCCTAAAGAGAATTACCAAGTCAAACGTCTCCTGCTGTTCCGAACCTGGTTCTGCTTTGAAGGGCAACGTACGAAATTTGCCACAGCTCTGCAGTGCAATAAACTGTGCCTGGGGCAAGCTCTGCACCAATACACACACACGCCGAGCAAAAGCAAAGACCTTGTCATTAGGTCTCAGTTAGTGAGCAATGCCTTGGTGAGGGTGTTTGAGATACTACCTGGGCAGATGAGAGACCCAGCTTTTCAATTAGTTAATTTTTAACTGGGAGAAAAATGGAGGGGTTTTCCCACTCATTTACATTTGTTCTGCCTCTAAGCCAAGCAAGATTGGGCTGCAATGTGTACCTGCCCTCTGTGAGTTTGTGGCAGAGGAGCATTTTAATTTGATCTTTTTAATTATTCATGCATTTATTGGGCCAGTTGTGGTTGTTTCCATGCTCAAAGCATTTTTATTGTGGGCCGTACTAGGGCACATTGGTGTGCTCTGCCTCTGGACCAACCTAGCAGAGTACACTAGATAACTGGTGTAATCAAAATCCATAGAATCATTAAGGTAGGAAAAGACCTCTAAGATCATGAAGTCCAACTGTCAACCGAACACTACTGTGACTACTAAGCCATCTCCTGAAGTGTCATGTCTACACATTTTTTGAGCTCTTCCAGAGGTGGTGACTCCATCACTTCCCTGGGCAGCCTGTTGCAATGCCTCACCACTCTTTCAGTGAAGAAATTTTTCCCAATATCCAATCTAAACCTCCTCTGGCAAACCTTGAGCCCATTTCCTCTTGCCCTATCACTTGTTACTTAGGGGGAAGAGACCGACCCCCACCTCACTATAGCCTCCTTGGACCGTGGTGGTGTTTGGATTTGATAACTGTAATCTCCTGGACCATTTGAACAAACGTAGGGATGCAGTAGATAGCACAGATTTTGGTAGAAGCAGTGGACATGTCTGTGACAGTAAGCTGTTCTTTCAGATATTGTACACAAATAAACTGGAAGAATTGGTTTGATTCCACTATGAAAAGAATCGGCATCAGGCAGTCACACTCCACAAAAACCTGGGGGAAGGGCTGTTTCTGAAAAGTGATTAAGCCTCATCAAAGCAGCTGCAATAATGTGGGAGAAAGTGTGTGTTCAAGGAGTGGTAACGCCAGGGCTAAGCTTTGCTGCTCATCTTCTGTCTGCATGTTGTTTTCCTACAAAACCTACTAACAAGGCTTTAAGCTGGAAAGTATTTTTTTTCATTTATTTTTTTCTCCATCATTCTCAATCTGTTTCTTTCCTTTTGGATGCTCCCTGCCTAATTTGTTTCTTTTCTGTTTTTCAGACTTTACTTAAACATTGCATTTCCATTGGTGTTGTCAAATGTTCTGTATTATTTTTTATTTTCATTCTACAAACATCACTGATCTTTTTCTTTCCCTCCCCTTTGGAATTCATAAGAAGATCCCATATATGCACAGAAGAAAGGTATTCAATAAGTTGGAAGGCTTAATTTCCATTGATTTTCCTAATGCTTAATTAGATAATATATAATACATTAGGATACCAGTGAGAAATTTGGGTTTGGCTGTGTTACTCAGTATTGTTTTCTATCCATTCAATCCTACATTTCAAACTATTTTTGTAGCTTATGATCTTTTTTTTTTTCATTGTTCTGCTTCTTAATCTGAAAGTCTAAATTGTATTTCACATAAGTCCTACATATCCGGCTTGCAAGATCTGTGTTTGGATGCTGCAAATCCAAAATCCAATAGAACTTGTTAAAAAGTTCCTTCATGCAAGTAATGTTTGTTTAGATACTGAAAGAATAGTGAAAAATTTAGAGGATATCAGGCAATGTTTGCAAAAGATAAACTTGACCCATAGACCGTTCTCAAGTTATGACCCGTTTACTTTCATATAAGTATATGCTTAAGTGTAGCTGAAGTAGTTCGTAAGGATTTGCAGTAATAGTGAATTTCAGTATATTAAACTGGAGTATTCACACTCGAAATGTGAGTGTATGTGAAATTTATTTGTTTATAGTTAGTGAATCCAAATACAGTACCAGGTTAATGGTATTCAGTCAAAACTAACAGGGCTATGAAATGTTGTATCAGGTGCATTATTTAGTAAATATTTGGGGTTTTTAAACATTATTATGAATAAAATTGTTGCTAATATGTAGTAAACATAGAATATCTTAAGTAATTTTCATAGATCTGCTACAAATTAGGAAATTCAGTGGAAAACAAAATCTTTTAGTGTATTTGTAGTAAGATTTTTTGTGTATCGGTGAGAAACAAAATAATTCTTTTGAGCCTATTGTGTTTTATGATTAAGTGTTTTTTCCATTTTTATTTTGTATTTAAGGACAGGGCATTGTATTTCACTTTGTTCGTGAGTTGTATTTCCAATTTTCAGTTCTCAGCTCTTCTGGAAATTAAAACAATGATTGAAAGAGGTCAGATATACTTACAAGATCTACTAGAACAGTGTGAGTTTGTAATAAACAAGTAGGAATAGTGACACAAAGGCTGAAAACCTTGTCTTGTGTATCTTGAGTGTGCAACTCGGTGAGATTGCAGTAACTAAGGCAGGAATGTACCTCCTCTATTTCCTGAAGAATCGAGCTGAACCATTGCTATTTAACTGAAAATTTTCATTAAGCTATTACAAATATATTATATTTAATTCTGTTATGGCTGAATTACAGCTGTTTCTCCCACTCTAGAGTTAGACGTTTATGCCTAAGCCTTTGTATTTATTTATATATTTATTTGAAAGCCATCATAGTGTCTTTCAGCAAGATACAGGCTCTTAATTTCCAGGCGGTCTTGGGAGGACAATTAGAAATGCCTGGAAATAATGCCTTGATACCTGCCCCAAAAAGATGGATGCATACAGAAGTAGTATGCAGGACTGTAAGACATCTAGAGTATGCTTCTCAGAAGACATAAGAATGCATCCCAGTACCTGAGCATACCGTTATCAACATGTGGGCATGCAGGTTGTGACAACTGTGGGCACGTAGGAGGTGGCTCGTGTGCCCCCCTTTGTAGGTGGTCAGGGACATGCAACCCCACAAGCAGCTCTGCAGGATGGCCTGGGTGGGGCCACCAAGCTCCCACTTCATCAGCCTCACCTTTTCCACTGGATGGGGTTAAACTTGATCTTGACCACAATGTTCAAAGTTGCAGTGAGATCTATCCTGAGTTTTTATGTCATTGTCTGTGGTTTTTGTTTCTACTTAGCTTTCATCTGAGCAGCTCAAGGGTTTGTGAGTTGAGTTCACTGTCAATTTTGAAAGTAATCTACAGAGCATGGCTGTTTGTTTTGAAAATCAAGCACTGGAGAAGGGGAAAAAAAACCACACAACAAAACCCAAAGCGTATCTCCTTTTTGCCTCTTCTAAAATGCCAGAGTATCAGCCAGGCCACTTAGTCATCAAGTAAATATCATGAAGCATTGCGTGTGTTTCCAGCAGTAGTCTCAAACTGTGACGAGCCTAATTGCAATTGAGAAGTGCGCAGTAGGAAAGGTGACAGTGCCTGACAGAAGAGCCACGGGGCTGCCCTCAGCAGATGCGTATGGAGAAAAACTGAAACTGTGAGAATTATTGCACAGTCAGCTCCCAGAAGCCACCCAGCAAGTCATCCTGCGTGGCAGCACTGGAGCCTCTCCAGCACCGCCCAGAAGAGCGGCTGGGACCACACAGGGGAGCAGCAGCCTAGGAAACGCAGGCACCGCTGAAGCTGGTGGGACTTTTGCTGTTGGCTTCAGCAGAGCCTGCGTTTCGTTTCCGTGATGCGTACTGGTTTTCAGGTTGCGCTCTTGAGCCTCTGAGGCAGAAGGAGTTGTCAGGCAGCATCCGTACAAGCCAAGGCTACCTGTCGTTTAGAAACCTTTGGGAGAAGTCCTCATGATGTATGTGGTTGTGATTGTGAGCACAAAATGAGACTGTTTCACATAGTATAATGTGGCATTTTCTTGGAGACATGGGGAGTCCATATTAAAAGGAGTTCCTCCTTCTGATAACTTAGCACTATTTCCTTTTCCCATTCAGGTGGTTGTTTCTTGGACGCCCAGATAAAATTCTGGATTTTGATGATATCCAATTGACACATGCAGACTTTGCTGAACTGTAGTCTCTGTTCCTGCTTACTTTTTCTTTTTTTTTTTTTTTAAAAGCAGGTTATTGTGTGAGTACACAAATTTCAGAGTAATTGTAATTTTGAGCAGGCCATGGCAGTGATGAGAAGGAGGTTGTCCTTTGGAACTCTCTTAGTCGCTGCCAGTCAACACAATGCCTACCACTTCATGCTGGTTTTCAGGACTCTGCCTTTAGGTTTTATAACCATTTTAAATACTTCTTAAACAGGGATGGGAAAACCCCAACTGGACCCTCTTGGTCTTAAGCTTAACCCAATCACTTTCTTTTAGAAAACGAAGTGAAACATGATTGGTTTTCACTTAAAATGGTAAGGTGATGAAATAGATTTTTAACTCATTTGTTGTTTAACCTTTCTTTTAATTCTTTTTTAAATGATTTTTGCTCTCCTCATGTTGCATCTTTTTGGCATTTTGCCTGTTTTTCTAAGAAACTTGTTTTCAGAAGGATATTACCAAGTGTTTTTGAAATGGAAGATTAGCTTACATTGATGAAAAAAAACATGCAGCCCTAATGTGTAGCAGGAAGAGGGATCACATCTCTCAAGGTATTAGTAAGTAGATTGTTCAAAAGTGATCAGTCCTGAGCTGTAAATAACAAGCAAACAAAATAGTATTTTTGGTTTTGACTACAAATGTGGCTCAATTTGGCAAACTGTGACATTATTATGGTATTTCTTGTATTTAGAGTTCGGAATAGTGATTTACTGTTTTCAAATTCCTCTAACTGTTTTTAATATGTATTCCATAGGAGCAACAGCTGCTGCTCGGAAGGAGGTTATAAGGAACAAGATAAGAGCAATAGGAAAAATGGCTAGAGTTTTCTCAGTGTTAAGGTAAGATTTTGTGCCGTTTCAGATTTTTTTTTCTTAATGTTAAAGGACATCTTTGAGTGATTACATAGAGCACTCTACAGTTAATCAAAGAAGAAATTTGATATTTTAGAATGACACACAACTGAGTTTTACTGGAACATTTTAGAGATTGCTTTGTTTATACAGTACTGCTATTTATTATGGCTCTGAATAATCTTCTTCCTCGGGGCTTTTTCTGAACAGAAAACAGACAAACAAAAGACAACAGCAAAGCAACTTGAAATTACCATTTTTTATTATTATTATTGATGACTTTTTCTCATCAGGTGTACTAATTATCTTTTAGCCACTGCAAGGTAAGAGTTAAATGTGGAGAAAGGGTATGTTGTTCCACATCATGTCTCATTAAAAAGGAAGCCAAGTGTCCCACTTTGTCACTCACAGTTGTTGCCACAGCCAGGAGTAAAGAGGAGTAAAGATGAAAGCATTAGGGTCGTTTAACGAAACATCCAGGAAATCATTGTGCAGACAGCAGCAACTCGATACATTGGGTTGCAGTCCCTCAAGCACATGAACATGAGTAACTAATTGCTACCCAATGTTTAGAACTCTCCATTTGATGTCTGTGAGCAAAAGAGAAAACATGCTGTACTGTGCTGAAGTCTAAATATAGAAGATACAGTTCTCCCTCCTTTCAGCAGAGGGATTTTATTTTTTTTCCTCCGGAAATTGTGTATTGCTCTGCTGTAGTCAGCTTATGGCTATTGCGATTAGTGCAAAATCAAGGGATTTCTAAAAAATATATTGGTATGATTGTACGGTTGATATAAAAAGAGGAAATAAAAATAGTTACTTGAAGAATACACTCTTCAGATGAAACTCTCAAACGTGCTTGATGTGAGACTTCTGCAGCATGCGAGCAGCGGACAAGTTGTCAGTGGGGCTTCTCATGGACGCAGCACGTTGGAGATTGCAGCAGCATAGCTTTAAAGAGCATGCTGAGATGGAGGACTTCATACCTGGGGTTCCCAAAGTGTTATATGTGAATTACTAGTGATGCACCAGCTACTTTCAAAGTGGTACCTTTAAAAAAAAAAAGAAAATAAAAGTTGGCATCGTGCCTTTTCCCTAAACAAGGTGGGAGAGTAATCAAATGTTTCCACCTGCTCCTCTACACCAAGTCTGGCAGAGAGCCTGGAGCTGATGTTGCCACCACCTTCATAAAACAGCACGATGATTTTTCTCCAGCGATAGTTGAGCAAACAAAGTTTGAGAAACCTGACTTTCTCCCATAACCTTGAACTATAGCTTCTGGATTGGCTCTATTTTGTTGTAGAGCACCTTTTGAAATATAGGTTTAATTCAACAGAAACATGGACTTTAATATGCAGAGGTGTCTGAAATTGGATGCTCAGCTGATATATGTGAGTTTTGGTAAGTTGCAGATGAGTGATATCACCTATGTGTCAAAGACTTTTCCAAAGGGAACTGTGGAGCAGAAGATTTTCAATGGTTTCAGGGATGGAAGAAGAGTACAGGATAATTCTTGCTTGTGCCCTGTCTAAATTGATATGTATAAGCCTCATAGCTTAGGATTTTAGCACCCCTTGAAACCTTGAGTCCTCGTAAACTATTTCACAAAAATCACCTTTTTAAGGTGCTAGTGGAAATCATCTTGATCCTTCCTGGAAAAGCAGTCAAATTTGTCACAAAAGTGTTCGTAAGACAATTTTTTACCCCTGCCACATGCATCCCAACATCTCCACAAAAGCAGAATGGACTGGATCTGATAGAGGAGAAGCCAGTGGTTCACTCACTGAAGCTGCTGAGCCTTTTACAGTTCTTGGTTACTGATAGACCTTCAAAATTTTTGCAGGAAGAACTGAAGATTAAAAATATATTCCTTCTCCATTAGTTTTAACCAGCCAATACAGTGCATCCTCTGACCAGTCCTCCAAGGGGATGAGTGACGTTTCATCCCAGCTACCATGGCCCACCCGCGAGTAGGTCGTCTTCTCTTTTGGTGGGAAAGGTTGATTCTCCTCAGCTAGGTACTAGGCTTCTGGACTGCAAAAGTTACATGAGGCTAATCATGCAATGTTCCTGTAGAAAAGCCTGGGTTATTCTTTTCTGTCTTGCCAGCACAATCCACATGTAACACACAAGTGGGTGATAATAGCGTGTAACCCCGCAAAGACTGCAGTGGCACCATCACCTAAACCAGCCTATTTCAAAAACCTTTGAAAGTCCTGTTCGGACTGTTGCTGATCTATGAAATTTATTTTGTCAATTCTTGAAAAACTTTCATAAAATCATAAAGGCTGGAAAGGACCTTTAAGATCGTCAAGTCCAACCTACAACCCTATACCACCCTAACACTCAACCATCTCCTGAAGTGCCACATCCAGCCGTTTTTTAAACACGTCCAGGGATGGTGACTCCAACACCTCCCTTGACAACCTCGAACTGTTGCTGGTTTATGAAATTTATTCCATCAATTCTCAAAAAACATTCCTCAACACCCATCACCTGATGGGACCACCTTCAAAGAACTCAGTCAAACGTCTTTTCTCTAAGCCAGAGTAGTCACCTACTTCAAGAATGTAACCTGAATGTAAAACCGAGAATATTTCAGCCACTTTAGTCTCAAAATTAAATATCAAAATAGTGTTGTTTTGAGTTTCAAAGGTTATAAGTGAGCTTTGCTGAGAAAAGCCATCATAGAAAGATTGACTTAAGCTCAGTGGAAGACCTCATGTTTCCTTGTCATTGCCTCTCAGTGACTTTGTTTCTCAAGTCTGACTTTGCATATATTTAGACAGGAGGAACGTAAATAAAATATTTAATCAGTTTATTTTCCTTTTTTAAAATGGAATTAAAGGATATCAAATAGAGAATAAGGAACACTGAAGGCTAAAACATCTGAAAATTTGTGATAGAGAAGTTTCTTGGAAATATGCAGTTAGGAAGATATTACAAATACAGTGAATAAACTTAGCCTATGAATGTGAAGCGATAAAGTGCCGATGCAGCACAATTTAAAAAACAAACATAAAAAATAGAGATTAAGTGGACCGAATTGAAAATGCGGATTATGCTTTTGCTTGCACAGGCAAAAAATCAAGAGAAAGAAAAAAAAATGGTGTGTAACTCTTGATGATGAAAATATTGTGTTAATTCTGGAAATATTTGGCTGTTTCATTAGTTCTAATTGCTTAGGAAATGTGCTAGGGAAATGGTCACAATTTAATTTTGACTAGTGCACAAAGAGAAATGTGTACAGGGAGAATAGTTTTCAAACTAAAAATAGGACTTCAAGAGTATATGTAGTAGGTAAACAAGAGTTGTTTGAAATACGTGAATAATTCAGGGCACGTAGGTCTAAAGAAAATTGTAAGCAGTAGAATTGCTGAGAGACAGTTTTGATAGACAAAACTACATTATCCTCGAGTGAATGTGGAACTAAATTCTGTCTCTGTGTTTGCTTCCTCCAGCTTAATGTCATTATATATTTCAAAGTAAAGCACTTCAAATAGGTTTTTTTTAAAGAATTGGGGTCACTTCTGCTGCCAAGAAAGTATGCCATCACAGACAGCATTACAGTACTCACAGAAAGCTATATTTAACGGCTTGTCTGGATAGAGCTGTTGTATTCCTCTTGCCATATATTAAAAACTATGTGTATTTGAAGACCATCAAAACATACTTAGGTTTCCGAAAACATTTTTTTAATCCAGTATCATTTTTAGCACATAAAACTATTAAGAACGGTGCTAGTAAGGGTGGAAGTGCTTATTAATTTTAATGAGCTTTTAGCTGGTTTTTGTTTGGATTTTTATAATCGACTGATGGTCATTAATAAATAATGAACCTGATTGCTGGTGTAGACAAAAGCAAAATAGCAATTTAAGTTGATTTTGGACCAAGACACTTAAATTTATCATGGGCAATAATTGCTTCTTTGGTCCTCCTCCTATCAAGTTTGTGGTTCTATGTATGTGTGTGTATATATGTGTGTGTGTGTGTATATTAAAATGCATGCTATATGTTGTTTCAGAGATGCAGGTTATAGTGTTAACTATAGTGGGAGTTCATGTATGGTGCGGTGCAAAGGTGAAAGACGTAGCAGTGAGGGGACATGCCCTGGTGCTTGTGTGATCACCAGATTCGGTCTGTCCTGGTAAGGAGATTGGAGATAGCCAAATTGTTGCAGAGCAGATGTAGCTTAAGGTGTCTAAAACATGTTCCGTGTTTTAAAAAAAAAAAAGAAAAAAAGAGTAATTTTTTACTTTGGACTTTTTTCTCCTTCTACAGAGAAGAGAGTGAAAGTGTGCTGACGCTGAAAGGTTTGACTCCAACAGGAATGCTGCCTAGTGGTGTGCTCTCTGGAGGAAAACAAACACTGCAAAGCGGTAAGCATGTTTGCCTGTCTGTGTCATTATGTGTAAAAAACCCAATTGGTTTTCAACTGCAGAACCCAAGAAAGGTAACCGCAGTCTTCTCAGAAAAAAAGGAAGGACAGAATAAAACAGGTGTTTTGTTGTACTGGAGCCTTTGTGAGCAGTTCATGTGAGGCCACTTCTCAAGTCTTATTGCATAGCACTACTTTTCAGAGAAAGAAGTGGGAAAAAAGTCCCAGAAAATCAACTCTTCAGAGTGGTAGATCAGCATTGCAAGTGAAGTGTGACTCTTGCCACAGTTTACAGCATCTTTTGGGTGGTGGGTTTTTTTAAAAGCAGCCTTTGATACACAGAGTACTGAAGGTTCAGCTTAGATAATGACACTCAAACTCTCACTTTATCTGATTTGTTCTCCTTCATAGAGAATCACCAATGGAAAATAGCTCTAGAATTAGATTTTCTTTTCTAGCAATTCCAGGTGACAGCATGAGAACTATTCTCTCTGATTTAACCCCAAGTGAGAGGAGACTCTTAGAAACATTGCATTTGCCTTGTACACAAACACAATACAGATTGTCAGTTCAGCTTAATGCCAAGTGCTTTTTGTTACGGGAAATCTGTAAGTCTGTAGCAGGGCTGCCTTTGATGAAATATTCCTTTTGGAATAAGGAGCTGCAAAATATTTAATTTACTACCATAAGCTCTCCTTTTCTTCCTGTGTCTATTGCTATAGAGTGTATTGCAGGCACCCAAGAATGTCTCTCGCTTATTGAGGTTCTGTTGGCAGTAGATTTAAGAAATAGAAATGCTTTATAACCTTAACACAGTCTCAGCCTCTTGTTTTCCTGTTTTCTTCCTGGAGCATTCTTTCTCTGTATTTTTCCCTTTACTGTCTCTTTTACCTAGAAGATTCAGGTATACGGTGGTAAACCTTCTTTTCCCCTTTTTTTCCCCTCCCTTTTTTCTTTTTGGTGACTTGTGTGTTACGGACATAGTAACGTTCTGCTTTGAAAATGCTGCAATATGATTCGACAGGATGCTTCTCCTAAAGGGATTGTGGTCTTTATCTAGGCTTTTCTCTCCATAGTTGCTTTGCATTTGTCAGAAAATTTGGTCCAAGGAATATGCTATTGTTGCCCTGGCAAAATATTAGGAATGGAAATGAATTTGAGAAAATTGCCTAAAGTTCTCGTTACAATGGCTAAAAGGAAAATCTCCTCATACTGCAGTATTCTGGCTTAGTAAAACATTACTATACACAAGTTTCTGCATTGTAGTTAACACGTAGTACCCCATTCACCAAATAATCCGAAGTTTACATAGTTTCTGTTAAGCACACGTTCATATTACCGTATGCATTAACAGAAAATATGAGTAGTATGTTCTGTTGTGGAAGTATACATTTTAGTCGTCATTTTCTTCTAATGTGTCAGTGCTGGTTTGGATCTGGTTATTCAGTTTTAATTTCTCATCCTAGTTATTGTGTTTCCTTTTCTTTTAAGTTTGCATTGGTTTTGTTCCTTGATTTTTGCCGTCTCTCTTGCTCTGTAGCTTGAGAGGCATAGGCTTACCTTGGTGCATGTGGGTTAGCTCCTCTCATTTCCTCATGCAGCAAGATAATAGTGTACATATTTTAGTATTGATCTCAATCCATATTTAACATCTTAACTAAAAAATAAAATATTTGGGGAGTTTTATGGAGGATGAAGAAAGCTTTTATGCAGGGGAAAATAAGACCAAAAAAAGAGAGGAATTCCTAAAAATCCAGCTTATTGAGCTATTCTCTAAACCAGAGAAGTTCTTGAAAATCGAAATTTCTTTTTTAACTATTTGAGCTGTATTATTTGTTTATTTGCATCAGCTTCTAAATCTCTAACTGTAGAAACAAATTCATGCCAAAGCTGATGGATAGAATTCAAATTATGTCTTTTAAGAACTATGAATGGTTTCAAAGGAACAATAACATGGCGTTCATAACACTGCAGCAACCTCCCAATTACAAACTTTTCTCTCTCTGACGAGGCTTTGCAATTTTGTAGATCCAGTGGCTTTCATTCCTCTTTCTGTGTCCACGATTTAAATAAAATATTATAATAATGCTGTTTTCAGAGACTGGGTTGACAAAAAGGACGCTTACAGATGGAGTGTACTGGTTGAGATTGCAACCAAGGGCAAAGCTTTCTGAGCAAACTCTATCCCATGCTGTGGGGAGGTTTCTTTTAGTCAGGAGAGAGAAAAAAAGTTGTTCTGAGAAGCTGTGTATATACAGTACTCTCTTGTACTGGCAGCTAATACTTTTCAAGCTGACATTGTAAGTGGTACAAATTTTGTGTGAGGGCTTCATGCCATTTCTCATTCTTTTTTGACAGGGCAAATCAAACTGCTCTTATTCAAAGCTGGGAGAATTATACAATGACCTTTTCTGGTCAGATGTGCAATATGGAATACATTTTCATTTTGTAGTTCTTTTGAGTCAAAAGAAAACTATTCAAATGTGTCTTCAAAAACTTAGTTTGTGAAACTTCTGCTTCAAAACAAACTATAGCTTAATTCAATCTGCAAATTATTGTTTTTGTGTAAGCATTTCTCTCTGTGTGTGTCTGTTCTGCCAAAATCCAGCACTTACAGTAACATTAGTGTTGTAGCTCCTTTGCTATTCACTGACTTGTTCTTAGAGTTAAAATCCTCTGCTCATTTTTCTCATTCGTTTTGCTACCCCTTTCTTCTCTTCAGCTACTGTTGAGGCTATTGAGGCTGATGAAGGTAAATTGGCCAGTCCCCTTTCTGTTGGTGCCACAACAGATAAGGGCTCTGCTGGGTGTATTCATTTTGCTGTAGCTTGTACAGATTGTGTGGGTGTTGGGCTAACAATTGTGGCTCGGTATTAACTAATATGTAATTGCTTTAAAGGGGAAAACGTTTTCTTTTGTTTATTTTTTTCCGTTGCTGTCGTGGTGGTGGTTTAGTTTTTTCCTTTCGGAAAGTTACAAACACGTCGGAATTGCTGAATGCCCAGCTAAGCACTGAGTGATGCCACAGGAGGAGATCAGGGGACTCGGATTTCCCGGGACATAACTCGGCAGCAGCTTGTAAATGCTCTGTGACACGTAGCTCAAAAGCTGTGTGCTGGCAGCGGGGTCTTGTCTCCACCTCAAACCATCCTCAGCAATCTCTGGTCAAGGAAAACACACAACTTTTTATAACTATTCTCTTTTTGTTTGGTTGGTTTTTTCTCTTTTTTTTTGTTCTTTTTTTTCCTTTTTTTGCTTCAGTTTGTTTCCTTTCCTTTAGGTCACTAGTAAAAAAAATTTATTGGTCTTTTGTTGCAGTTCAGTATGTTTCTGTTTCTCTTTAAAAGTAAAACAACATGAGACATTTGTCTGCAAGATGTGGGCTTCCTCTGGTAGTGGCAGTTTACACACTGGATATTTACATCAGAGCAATGTTAGAGCAACCATTAACACCAGCACCATTTTAGCTACAAATATAAAGTGGCTGCCTCTGAAGATTTCTGAATGTGTAGTCCTGAAAACTGTGGTGCTTTATTGACAGACCTCTAATTTAACCCTTAAGCGATTTTTAACGATACAGTTAAAACTAAGTAATCATGTATGACAGTGTACATGTGCAACATTGATTGAGCATTATAAAGTTTTGGAAGAAGACTTTTCAGAATTCCCCTTTAAAACAAAGTTTTTCAGTTGTATTTTGTTCTTGCCCCTCTCAAATTCTCTGTGGGTATTTTTTTTTAGTTAATTAAAAAAAAAATTAAAAAATCTGATGATTGCTGTCCGTTGGTAAGATGTGCCCTTTTGGCCAGTTGAATTTGTTTTTGATTTTTGTAAAGCAGTGGATAAAATTACAGAACAAACAAGTAAGAGAAAATACAACTGCTTTCTAAATAGCAGTGAGTAAGCTGCTATTTATGTTGGAATTATCTATTCCTATTGGCAATCTCTAATCTGCAGTGTGCATTCTCGTTGACAGTTTGGCTGTTTTCTGTGATTTTCTGTGACTATGTGTTGTGTTTTAGTATACTCTCAATGTAAACTGCTAATACTCGTTGTCTGACCAGCAACTACAGCAGAGCACCTTCCTCAGTGTCGCAGGCAATCTCGTGTCTGCTCAAAATACAATCGACTGAACGTGCCCCCCAGCAACATGCACCCTTCAAGTTAATTCTTGATTTACCAGCCTTGCTGGTTTAGACACCGTAACCGTAACGACTAGTCTGCATAGACAAAGCTACCAATGGAGCAAATGTTTCGCCCTTTACCAGCCTAATCTAGTGGGGGACGTCCCTGCGCATGGCGGGAGGATTGGAACGAGATGATCTTTAAGGTCCCTTCCAACCCTGACCATTCTATGATTCAGCTGTCCCTCGGAAGTTCGATTCGGAACCTAGTAGCACCCTCTGGGCCGTGCTGCCGGCAAGCTCCAGGACCCAGCCAAGTGCTTCAGCTTCAACATGGCCATCCATTAAACTATTGCTTTAAAGGATTGGCCTGGGTGCTTGTTAGACATTTTCATTGTTGTGGTAGAGGGTAAAAAATTTTTTTAAATAACACAACCCTTGGAAAAAACTCACTGTAGGGCCTGTTCCGTTTTCACTGCTCTGTCCCTGCTCTCTTGACTAATCACCATTATGATGATAATGTTTTTTCTGAGTTGAAGTGTAACACGTGTCAAAACCCACGCACTTCACAAAGTTCCAATATAACATATGTAAAACTGGCTAAGGAGCTAAATCCTGAGGCAAACGGGTTCTATCCATGTTCTCAGGAATGGCTGGCAAAAATATCAGCATGAAAAATATTTTTCTCGTTCTCCCCAAAATGCAAGCAGTGATAGATTGGTACCAGGGATGTTCTGGCTTTTGGGGTTTGCGCATTTTTTTTATTTTAACAGAAGTTATCAGCTTGTCTAGAATTGGGACTATATAGAGAGAAGGAGTACTTTGGGGTAAAGAGAAGATAAAGGGAGGGAAGGAATAGTGAATTTTATCTTTGCAACTCCCCTACTATTTTCTCCCCAGGGAGTTTGCAGTTTCCTGGTACTAACACACCATTTCTGCTCCACGGCCTGTTAACATAGAGGCATAACCAAAAATGCCAGTTCTGGAAAGTGCAGTGCATAGATTTGGTGCAGACAAGAGAAGAACACTTGGAAGTCTATGACAAATTATCTGTGGAGCTATGGCCCGCTGTTTGCCAATGGTGCTTTTTTCTCTTTTGCTGTAATTCTAAAGGTCTTCAAGTCTTCAGTTAGAAAGAGAGAAAAAGGAAAATAAAAATCACACTCTGCAAATACATTCCCCAGCCTGTGGCTGCCTCCTGAGGTTGGTGTGGCCTCATCAGTGTTGCTCCTGAAGGGCAGATCAAAAGTCCTCAGGTTCAGTTGGAACTTTGGTCCTTTGTCAGTGCGTTCCAAAGTTAAATTGTACGAGTGTGCCAAAACGATGATATCTCTGGTCCATATTGCACGACATTACCGCTGTTTCACTCAAACTGTTTTCTAGAAGTCCAGGGAAGTGTCGGGCAGGGTAACTGCCTTGAGCGATCAGCAACTGGCTCACCTGTGTTGGGAACATACGGCAACCTGTCATAGGGTCGCCCTAGGTCTCCCGTAGCTTTAGCGTATATCCCACAAACTGACCTCACCACGTCATCGCCATCTGTAACTGGCCAGCACTATTTCCCCTGGTCTTTGAAAGTAAAACGGGAGTTTTGCCTGATTAACGATGTTGTGGTGAGGCACGATGTCTTTGAGGCTCTAAGTGATGATGACAAATGCTAACTCGCCGGCTTAACAGCTGTGCCCTAAGCATGGTTCCTAACTGCAAAACTGTAGTTTCATGTCAGCTTCGTAGCGTTTTAAGCTGAACCCCAGTGGACAACAGAATGTTGGAAGTTGATCTTGTTGAACAAAACAGTTGTGTTGCAAGAGACGGTGGTGGTTAACCCCCGGCTCTTTCAGAGTATGGTAAGGAGTCGGTCGCGTGGTCAGATCTTCTCGTTGCCGCCTTCTCAGAGAAGGACATTCGCTAAGTTGGGGGAAGAAAGCTGCCGAGAGTTTTACCTTGCTAATTTCACTTTTTAATAATCCTTTATTTAGCTATCAAAGGATTTTCACCCCAGCATAAGATCACTAGCTTCGAAGAGGCCAAAGGCTTAGATCGAATTAATGAGCGAATGCCTCCGCGCAGAGACGTGCCATCCGATGCCAACCTTAACTCCATCAACAAGGCAATCTCCACAGAGACTAATGGCACGGACAGCAACGGCAGTAATAGCAGCAATATCCAGTGACCACTGTCTGGGAAAGGGGGGGGTTAAGCTGCAGGGCGCGCGATGGGGTTGCTGCACATCAGCAGTGGGATGTTCTTGCCTCTGATAATAGCTTACTTGCTCTGGGGGCCAGGTGTTGGATTCAGTTTACAAAAATCATCTACGAAGAGATCGTCAACTTTAATTTGGTGGGAGGGGGAGGGTGGGGGAGAGACACCTCCTTTGGATATGCCTTTAAAATGCTTGTAGAAAAATGGAAGCTCATGCTGGTATATATTGCAAAGTTAGGGGAATGAACATGTTTTCCTACTGCATTGGGAACGTCTAGGTATGTTACTGAAAGGCCTTTTATTATGTTACTGGACATGAAAACTTTGTTTAATTTCTTACTAACTATTGTACGTTTACAGTTGCAGCACTAAACATGGACAACATCGAAACATTTTTAATGAAATGTACAAACTAAATAAGGACTATTTATTGATAATGTTTTGCTACTCTTGTCAGACAATGGCTATGAGATAAATTAGGCAGTCTTTAAAAATATAGAAAAAAAAAGAAAAAAATAAGAATGTTGGAAATTTGTTTAAAATGCCAAAAATTAAAAAAAAATAGAAAGAGAGAGAGAGTGAGAGAGAGAGAGAGAGAGAGACAGTTTAATTTTGTACAGATTATGCTTACCTCAGGTTTCTTTAGTGTGCTTCAATGCCCTTCTTTAAATATAACACTTATCTTACTAATTTGGCAGCAATTATCCTTTTCTTTGTTTAAAAAAAACTGGAATAATGATAACATTTATCTTTTTTTGCTGTTTATATTTAGGGGGGTTTGGTTTGGGGGGTTTTCTGGGTTTTTTTGGTAAATCAAGTCTTGGTTGTGGCTTGCTGAATTTAAATATTTATGAGTGGTGCATTTTTAAGTATAGTGAACAAGACACCATATTAAGTGCAGTGAAAAGCATCTATATTCTGTAAAAATCTGCCTATGCATGTTTTTTAAGAAAAAATGGCTGTATAGGCCTGTATGGGACTGTAATGCGCTTAGTGGTCTGACTTATACTGGAAATGTATGTATACTGGCGTACTTTATATTCTCTAAAGAAAAATGCTTAATGCCTTTGAAATTTTGTAATCAAAAAAAAAGCTTTGAAAAATCTAAGGGGAGAGTATTCTTAAAAGTTTTTAACATAAGCTTGTCAGTGCACATATAGATGGGTAGCATGTTTAGCAAACCTTGTGAAATTTAAATAAGTTTGTAGTTACATGTGAAATTCTAAATGCATGATAACTGTTAATGTCATAATGGTTTAGTCATTTTGTTCTGTTCTGTCATGTGCCACAAAATGTGTAATTTTTTCACTTTTTTCCCTTTGTATATCAGTTACGGGTTTCAACTGGTTCATTCGAAAAAAGAAAAAGAAACAAAACAAAACAGTCCATTGATATTTTTTAACAATTGTATAAGTGCCCAAGTAATTCACTACAGCCTACAGCCTTGCCTTTGTAATTTGACTTCGAAATGTTGGCAATCAAAGCATGCACTTGTAACAATGAAAGAAGCATTTTATATTACTACTCAATAAAAATGTGCATGAACTTAAGTGCTCTTGCCTTTCTTGCTGGCTCAGTTGCAGAAACCCACGCGGGCACACACACGTGTGCGCTTGTTGCTCTCTTATGCTTTGCACAGGAGAAGACCATCGGTGTAAGAGAAGAATGACTGGTTTCACGATTCAAGGTCAGTTCTTTACTAAGCAAAAAAATCGCATATTACCCAACTTGTTTAGGCTACTGACCATCTACAGACTTCTCCCAAGTTCTGGTTAGAAAGTTAGGTTTTCGGTAAATGAGTGAGATGTGTCCTGCAAGCAGAGTGCAGGAAAAGAAATTGCCCTCTGTGTGCTTCCCTCCCTTGTCATCTGGAGTGTTTGAAAAGGTCAGTTAGTATCATTTACAATATACCTTTAAGGAAAATAATAATTCGGCCATTTCAGATTTCAAATACCCACTCTTCTAGTCAGAGGGTCTGCCTTGTTCTCATTTTCTCCCTGACTGTACTCAGCATCCTTCCGTAGTCTGTCATCCTGAACTGAGGGATGATGCCAAACAGCGCAATGGTGTGGGTATTGCTTTAGTCCTTCTTTCAGATAACGTTATTAAATGTTGGCTCGGTTTCTTCTATGTTTTTCCCACTTCAGCTCCTGTTAATTTTGGCAAAATATGACAGGTGGCAAAGTAAAGATAATTCATAATATACAGGACTAGGAAGCTGGATCCATTTTAGATTTAAATATTTTTTCAGGTTGTATAGAAATGTAGCGCAGGGGAGAGACACGGAGAATCTAACTATTCATCCGATCAGTGAAGCTGTTCATCTGATTAATGAGCATGGTCTCTGCAAAAAGTAATGGTGAACGTTGGAGTGACCACTTTCCTGGTTCGGTCTTGCGTGCATGCTCACTGAGCAGCTGCAGGTTACCTAAGGTGAGGTTTTTCTGTAGGGACATCGGAGCTTTTGTGCAACACAGAGCAATACTGTTGGGCAGTGCAATGTGTGCTGTCTGGTTTCATTTAAGTTGGGCCCTGGCAGTTGCCCAAACCAATTTAACATCAAGAAAAGAAGTGGGTTTTTTCCTCTCAACAGTGACAGTGTGGCGTAGACCTCTCGACTGGTAGACAACCCAAACTATCCATGCTACAAATCAGTGGTGGGTTTGCAAATGCCTGCTGTCATTGTGGAGGAGCTTATGGTCAAGTGGAGTAGCTCCAGGCTGAGTAATGCACAAAGTCTGTCTGGCTAGTAAGGAGATTTTTTGCTTTTTATATCTTAAAAATGTCCTGAGCATGCAAAATAGTAGTGTCCCATGTGTCCAAGTAAGATGGTCTGGCCATTTTCTGGAGTGAGCCCCACTGTCCTACCATGGGGCAGGTTCTGGACTGGCTCTAAGGGATCATCTAGGCGATACTCAAATGTTCCCAAAAGGACAAAACAAAATTTCAAAAAGTTATCTCTTTCCAGGACATCACATCTTTTTTCCTGCTGCAGAAGGAGCTGTAAATGAATTTGAAGAAGAACCCTCAGGGCTGAGTTCTGGATTTCATGGCCTCACTCAGTGACGTGCCATGCACTGAAATATGTCTCCCAGTACAGGTTGCTTCCCTCTTACCAAATATGCTATTTTGATGCCCAAAATATCATTGGTGCCTACATCAGGATGTACTGTATTTTTAACTACTGTATTCCCACTGTGTGAGACAGCATATTGGATATATGTATCATATTTGCTGCCCCACCATAATTTTCCTTTTCAGAGGCTATTAAACATGAACTGTGTTAGCTCTTAGCATCCATCTACTGAAGACGACAACATTTAATTTTGTCCAGATTTTCCCCAGAAATTACATTAGGTTTAACCCTGCTTAAGCTTGTACCAGAATTGCCAACTGACAGACGCACATATAAATTATTTCAGCACTCCTTGACACCCTTTTTTATTGCAAGAGGAGGATCTTCTGAGGCCTCTAGAGGAGTCTGGGTTTAATTTGTCTTTCTCCTGAGAACCTGGCCAGCAAAATTGCGGTCAGAAAGAGGGACTAAAAACAGGCACTGGAAGATGCTGCTTGTTAGCACAGACATGATCTCTTTTCTCTCTCACTTTGGGAAACAGTGACATTCAGAGTATAAAAAAATGAAAATTTAGGGACTCTTACTGAATGCAAACTGAATTTAAGATTTTAGTCCTTAGAAATCAGCTTCCTTTCTTTTTTCAAGGCACTGTTGCTCAGATTAGTCAGATCCATGAATCTTCCCACTTACTTCACAAAGAGAGGGATGTGAGAACCAGCTATTTCAGATGTTAAAAAACCACAAGCACCGAAGCAACCATTTGGAAAATAGCTTGCAGATTGCTTTCCTAGTTGCTTTTGGGAGGATGTTAGATTCTGCTAAAAATGGCCAGTTTTGGCATGCAGAAGATGAACTTTTTGGTTCTTCTATGGTTTAGGAAAAAAATATATCCAAGTTCACATGTTTTCATATGTATAATGTTCGTATGTATCTGAAAACACAAAAGACTTGCAGCCACCTCTATGGGGATCACCTCTATGGAGATCACAAGGAGGAGCTGATGAAGCTAGAGGTAGGGGATTTTTTTTTTGTCTTGCTGAGCTGACTTTGTGGTATGAAAGCTGATAAGCATTATAAAATGTCTGTTTTACGAGACTTTATTTACGAGATCTTATTTTTAAAAAAAAATAATTTGAGAGCAGTTTCATTTTTACATGCACCACAATGTTTTATGAATCTGACAGATAGCTGTGTGCTCGGAGCACATGATCGCAAAGGGAAGGGCTGCCTTGGCTCTGTCGTTGCTGTCAAAATCTTGTTTTAGGCAAAGGAATTTGGCAAGGAACATGCTAAAAAGGACTGATTTTGCCACCAGTGGGAAGTCTGCAGGCGTGGTGACAGACATGACAGCATCTGCTCCTTTGTGGAGTCCACTGGGGTTGACCAAGGCCCCTTCTGCCTTTTGGATGAAGACGTGGTTGTTGGCTGGAGGTCTGAGTCTGGGAGATTCTTACAGCAGCAAGACTTAAGCAAGAGGTGGTGGTTTCATATTTTAGCTATTACATCCCTGAGGGAGTTGATGTAACAACCATGGTGTGATTGAGCAAGCCCATTTCTTTCGACATGTGGGTATTTAATAATCTTTTTTGCTTTAAGTGAGCAGCAGAACACTATGACTTGGACCAATTTCACAGTGGTTTAGGCTGGAGGAGCCCGTTAGGTTACAGAGTTGAAAGTCTCTGAGGCTGGCAGACACTGCTGAGATAGCTCCTCCAACCCAACTGCTCATGCAGGGTCAGCTGAAGCAGGTGGCTTGGGGGTGTGTCCAGGCAGGTTTTGAGCTATTTGCAAATGTGGAGAGTCCACAGTCTCTGGGTAACCTGTGCCAGTGCTTGACAGCTCTTGCAGTAAAAAAGATTTTTCTTGCATGTAAAATTTCCTGTATTTCAGTTTGTGCCTACTGCCTCTTGTCAAGTCACTGAGCCTCACTGAGAAGAACCTGGCTTCATCTTTTTTACTTCCTGCATCGGATTTTTATACACTTTTTTCTCTATGCTGAACAGGCGCAGCTCTCTCCATCTTTTCTCATAGGTCAGATATTCCAGTCTCTTAGTCACCTTCCTGGTCCTTTGCTAAACTCACTCGAGCAAGTCCATGTCTGTCTTGTGCTGAGGAGCCCAGACCTGGACACAGTACTCTGACTGTGTGTTACCAGTGGTGGTTAGAGGGGGGGAAAAGTTAAATTACCTGCCCTGGTAGCCTGTATATGCCATTAAATTTCTGCAACATGTATTGATGCCAATAATTTAAGACAAGTGAGGACATATTCAGCCTTCTAAGTTGAGGTGGGAGCCATACCTCAGGAAATGGAAGAAGCAGAGGTCCATTGCAGTCATAGAGCTTAGACACATTGAGGTCTGTACCTTAGGAACTGTATCCAAGAAGGTAAGAGAAAATGAATGCCTCACCAGTCTGAGAGGACCATGGAAGACTGGAATAAGATCGACAAATTATCCAGGTAGGTATCAATTGCAAGAGGGAGGACCCTCTTCACTGGCCGGTGCTGTGTGCCACCTACTGCTGCTCCTCAGTGCTTCAGAAGAAAGTGAAGAAGACATCAAAGAACCCTGGCCAGTCTGGTACTGGAGGATATAGTCCCATCCTGGATTCAGCAGGCAAGTGGCTGAAGCCCTTAAGCATGTTATTTGTATACAGTCATTATTGTAGTGGAGATGTTATCAAAATAAAATGTGCAGTCCACTTGTTGTCAGGACATCACGTAAGTGATAGATCTTGCGCCTCCTTGGGGAGGGAGAAGTAACCTTCCAAGGAGGTTGCCTGAGAAGGTAATTCATTTGTCTGTCACTTGGTGGTTTATTAGTTTCAGTCCATGTTTAATAAGCTTTGCACCTGGACTGCATTTTTCTAAAATGTGAAGTAAGTGCACTCTGAAGGGAATATGAGGCTGACACTGCAGCTGAGCTTTAAAACAAGGCTACAGAGCTGATGCTTACGCAAAAGACTGAGGAAGCCCTGCAGCTATGGACCAGGGCACCGGAAAAAGAACAGTAGTAAGGAGTGAGGCTGGCAGGAGAGCTTGGGGTAGTTATTTAATCCTTTCTCAAGGTAGATAGGAGAAAAGGCAGTGGTGGCAGTGCCAGAGGAGACCTGAGTACTTAATACTGCAATACTGAGACGAGATACGGAAGCTGTACGCTGAGCCTTGGCTTTGGGTAAGCAGTGACTGAAGCTATTTAGGCTGATAAAATTCACCTAAAAAGATTATTTTAGAGTTCAGGCTATGGCCTGAAGGCAGTCAGGCATAAAAGGAGAGGAGGGAATAGCATGGGAAATAAAGTTTTGAAGGGCAGATGCGTGGTGAGGGACAGGCTGAGGCTCACAGCCCTGGCAGAAGCAGCAGCAGATGCTGCAGGACTGGATGCTGTATTGCATGCTGAGGAGTTATTTCAGCTTAAACACAGGGATGCCTGTAACTAAGGGGTTTGGGCTTGGTGCAAGGGAGTTGCCATGAAG